GCCAAACCTTGGCCTAATTCCCAGCATTCACCTGCAGAGGGACTGTCAGTCAGCTGGCAGAGGCTACAGCAGGAAAAGAATGATGAGGCCTGGGGCAGGTTTGGAGACGGAAGGACAGATGAAAAGAAAAAAGGGAGGCTGGCATTAGAGGGGGGGCAGAAAAGAGATGAGTGGAAAGAGTTTAGTAAAGGTGGGAGGAGAATCAGCACTTCCCTGTGGGGAAGTCAGTTGTCAGTGCACGCCAGCGTAGTGTTCATGGAAATTTAACAGGGGAGTGGCAGCAAGTGAAGGGAGGACAGGCCTGTGGAGAGGAGGAGGAAGTGAGCTGACAGTGCAGGAGAGAGGAGGGAGCAGCAGCATGTGTTGCAGCATGTTTTTGTCTTGTCGGCTGGCCCCCTGCTAAACAGAGCCCTGCAGAGGCTGCTGCACACCGAGCATGGCATGAGGGCAGAGGAGCTGCACGTAGAGTCACCTTCAGCACTGCTGGGTAAGTGCAACACACATACAGATAAAACTGACTGGTTGTGTAATCACAGGAGGTGTAAGGAGCGTGCACAGAGAGGAGCTGGTGTCTGTGTAAGTACTGATGCTCCTGCTTTAGGACTGGGTTCCCCTCATGTTAACAGCAGTCATGTGTAAAGCATTAAAGCTTTTAAACACGTGACATGTTAAATTAACATTATGTACTCCTGGAGAGGGTTGCTCTTGCTTTCTGTTTGGTTCTTGTGGGTTAATGAGCAACTACTCTCTGACAGATGGTAAAACTTACAGCGAGGACGCAGATTTTCCACCTCACTGAGCGCCCACATGCCCACACAGTGACCCAGCTCCTGACCTTTAAAGGATCAGCGAGAGACGCTGGATCATTGTTGGCTGTATAAACACGGACTGTCTGTGTTTTCCAAAAAAACTGGCGCACCTCCTTTCTCATGCTTTGCGTCCCACGTTCACAGTTTCCATTCCAACTTCAGCCCGCCTTGTGGCCAAAGTGAGAGATGGACGCAGGAAACCTAACGGATGCCAGCGTTTCTTGGTTGTGTTTTTTGACAGTGAAGGTGCAGAGGGTTTGTTTTCCTTTATCCGATGATGTAACATCGGTGCAGAAACGAGAAGCAGGAGTGACGATCAGAGGTTTGCAGTGACAGTCGGAGCAGTGTTGTTTTCACTCATACAAATGTGCAGACAGATTTTGCTGGAGAAGTCATAATTAAAATACTTGAAAAAGAAAGGCCACGCACTGCGCTCCACCCTTTAAATCAGCGTTTTACGCTGAATAAGAGACAATTTTGAAATTAACTTTATGAGGGATTGAACAAAATATAGCATAATCTCACTTAATCTGTCAGCACTCACTTATTGATGACTGCCAGCCACTAAAACACCCAGTTTAAGCTCAACGTCTGTTAAATTTACTGAGTTATAGACATTTTTGTGTTTGCTAAGTTTAATTAGCTGACGTGACCATCCTGAAACAAGTTGACTAAAAGTTGTTCAGTTGGACATCCGATGATTACTTTCTGAAAGTTTCATGAAAATTTATTCAGTGATCACAAGATATTTTGCTAAAACACAAGCAAACACAAACGGACAAAGACAGTTAGATTCAGGTGTCCAAAGTGTGGCTCGCGGGCCATTTGCGGCCCTTGGAGTGATTTTGTGCGGCCCTCGACTTCAATTAAAGAACGGTTTAATTTTGACCCACAGGATTTAAGAGGTTGATGCAGATGTAGACCTTCTTTAGATTTAATGGTGATACCTTTTAAATATAATTTTTAGGTTTAACAGCAAAAAAGATGAAAATAATCTTCTCAAAATGAGCAAAATTAAGTACAATACAGAAATTTAGCTATAATTAATCATTTTATCCTACAACAAAAATTCACTGACTTACCAAAAAGTATAATTTTGGATGATAATTCATAAAACTTCACTAAATATAACAAGTGTTTTCAAAGAAAATAATTTCAGTGGAGTTAATAATCGATGGGGAGAAATTTGGCATTTTTTAAAGAATATAAAGTGATATCATCGACAAGTATATCAGCTTTATCAGTGTCCCTTCGAACTTTCTATGATTCTGTTTTAGCTGATGTTTCTCAGAACCTTGATGACCCATTTGGGCCGTCCATGGTCCAAATGGAGGACTGAAGTTTGAAGAACATTTACTCATTTTAGGCTTTTGTCGCTGAAAATAAATGAAAATGAATTTTCAAAGCACAAAAAATAGTTCCAAAAAAATCTAATAAATTAAATAAGAAAAAAAAACAACTTACTAGGTTAATGTTCATGAGGCTCTTAATGTTCTGGATCTACAAGAATTTAAACTAAACTTTTAACCTTTCTCCAAAATAGTATTAAAGTTTTTAAAAATGAGGAGAAAAAAAAAACACTTTTAAAATATATACCTTATATATTTTCTTAAATTCAGATTTTTCTGGCCCGCGAGCCGTTAGGGTGCACTCAGTTCTGGCCCACCTATGAAAACGTTTGGTCACCTCTGATATAGAGAAACACTTTTTAATGAAAGAATGCTTTTCCTCTTGTGTTGAGCTACGTGTTTTGCATGAAAGGAAGAATCCCTCCACCTGAGCTGAACGTGTCTGACTTAGGTGAAGCCAGCCAGGTGAAGTCAAAGCTCCTCCCCACTGAGGTCCAGTATCAGTGTCCAGGATAAAAATGGAGGATATGAATAATCAAAAGGAGATGTAAAATATGATTTCAGTTTTGCGTTTCTTGTTTTCCGCCTTCCTTCTTTTGAACTTTAAGTAAAAACGTTAGGGTGCACTCTTTTACCAGCAGTTGATTTGATTTGCAGCACACAAAAGGTGGAAGTTTTCATTTTACGTGTGCACATTTTTCTGTGTGTGTGCACGCGCACGTGTTCTCCTTTGGACCTGCTTGATGGATTTGAAACCATGATGCATGAAATGAATGAAAACGTGCAGCTCACACGGGAGCATTTCTACAGAACGGTGACTTGGCTTTTGTATGTTTTGTGCTTTGAGGACAACATTGCTGCAACACAATGCTGCTGCCAAGTGTGTGTGTGTGTGTGTGTGTGTGTGTGTGTGTGTGTGTGTGTGAGACTATTTAACTAACTGTTTCCTAGTCAGACTGACAGAAAGAAATACAGACAGCACTCCAGAGTGGCAAAAGTCAGAGGTTAATATAACTAAAAAATAAAACAAAACACAACTTAAAATGCAGTGGTGGGATGTAAATAAGTACAAGTACTTTGTAACTTTACTTAAGTACATTTTTCATGTGTCTGTACTTTACTTAAGTAGAGTTAAACGTGGGTACTTTCAACTTTTACTCCACTACATTTAACATTAAGTATTTGTATTTTCTACTACACTTCATTTCTACAATGCGTTGTGTTACACGTTACATTCAAGAACCGGGCGCGCTCACGGCACCACTAACACCCAAAATGGTTTCCACCGCGGAGAGTCAGCCAGAAGATACTATATAAAAGATTATTGAAAGACTATTGAAAGACTATTGAAAGACTGTTCAGTAAAGCAGGACATATTTTCTCCCCAAAGAGCCAGACTGGACTCAAAAAACTTTGAAAACCAACTTCTTCTGAACTTGAACAATAAATTCTTGCTGCAATATTAAAATGTGTCAGTTCATGGGTGTTAGGAGACAAGAGATGTCTCCAAATGACTCGACACTCGGGTCCAAGTTTTGAAAATGGTGTCAGGAAGTTCAAATATTGTTCATACTGACCCATTACAAGGTCGACTACAGTATTTTAACTAGAGTTGATGACAAACTGGAGTTGAAATGATCAGATAATTCTTTGTTAGGTCTAATGCTCCTTTTTTCAGACAGACAACTTTTACTTAAATGTGTTTACAGCAGTTAAAATGACACATTGGTTTTGCTTTGTGTTAAATAAAAACCTTCAAAGGTAAAATCATTCCTCTCTTATTTTGCTTAATGACATTTAACTCTGCAGGTCGTCCCTGAAATTCTGACGCACAGAATCCAGTCCAAGTGTGAACTGTGTCACACAATAAAAACGTATTATCTGCAGCATTGTTCAGTAAAATGACTCAACACTATTAATGTATTACAGAAAATATACATACGGTAGGCACACTTAATGTAGACCATTGCATTAGTAGCAAGTACTTTTAATACTTTAAGTATTTTAAAAAGCAAGTACTTATTTACTTGTACTTAAGTAAAAACGTTAATGTGGTACTTCTACTTTTACGAGTACATTTTTGTCTGTTTATTTGTACTTTTACTTAAGTACAGTGTTTGAGTACTTTCTCCACCACTGTTCAAATCTAAACTTTCACCTGTAGATGATGATTTTAACAAATGTCTGATTACACCTGTCGCCATCTTGCAACACGGGTTTGCCCGTCAGTCATTCTTGCTCACGTAGTAATTTTTTTCACTGCCTGGGAACTCAGAAGACTTCCTTATGAGGCGTGCGTAAAAAGAAACAACAGGCAATAGTCGTTATTTGATGAGTTGAGGAATGATTTGACGCAAAGGAGCAAAGAGTTTGAACAAATCTGTAAAGATTAAAGCTTCACATTGCAAAGGTGTGACTTTTTTTATCTTTAGATTTGTTGCATAAACTATGCAGCTAAAACAATATGTTAAGCTGAAACTTACAGATGAAGCAAAAGATAAGAGTTTCAGAACATTATATTCGATAAATCATTAAAAAATGAGTGCGTTTTCAGTGCTTGGTGTTGCCTGTGCATCCTTTGTGTTATTCTAAGAATAGGAAGGTAAAGAAGTGTGTAATTAAGGAACATACAGAACATCCAATATGGCGTCGACACCACTAAAGAGACAACTGCTTACTTAATAGTTTGACAAATGGGTGGAGCTGTCTGTTGATGAGTTGACCTCGAGGATGAGTGGGCGCCCTTTTGTTTGTCTGCAACATGCTCACGCTTGTTTAAATCCACACGCCGACGTTGCGTCATGTATCTCTTGCTCTAACATCAGGCTTCACTGTCCCACAGATCGAAGCTGAGCGTCTGAGCGGAGGGGACGACGAGGTCCTGCTGACCGGAGCCTCCAGCAGCCAGTCCGGCCTGCTGTCCCGACCGCTGCTCCCAGACGTCCCCGTCATCACCGGAGTGGAGGAGAGCAGAGGTGCTGCTGCGGAGCAAGAGGACAAGGAGGAGCTGGAGTTTCCTCACGACCTGCTGCCCAGTTTGGATTTTAGCAGCGAGCTGAACATCTGGGAGTCCTCACTGGGGTACGGAGACACCTGCACTCTCACACTGCGGGCAATAACTCACCTCGACATTCGTTAGGAAAGTTTCATTTTGGATTTGTTCTGTTGACATAGCTTTCTCCAGCGAATCTGCAGGAAACAGAACGAGACGTTCAGACTCTTTAGTCAGAAGTTTCAGATTGTGTGTTTTTGTTCCAAGTCAGAATTAAAGGCCTGGCGTTTCTTTGAAGGAATGTACCACCCGTCAGCTTTCAAGGCAGAGCTTTCAACCATCATATGTTCAGAAATGACGGAGTTATTTTGGTCAAACCTGGAAAATGATGTTATGCATAGGCCTGTCGCGATAAACGATAAATCAATTAATCATGATAAATGAAAATTATCGACCTCGCTTTCATTTATCGGCTTTATCGTTTCTTCGTGTCTCTCTTTTTGTGTGACAAATGCTTTGCTAAAGAGCTCAAACCACACTGAACATCTGCCATTTTGAGAACTGAAAAAAGGAAGGAGAGACAGCCCATGTCACGTCAAGGGGCCTTCCTCTCATTTTGCTTAGAGACACGCTGCTCGCTCCCTCACTATCCATCCATCAATTCAAACAGTCTTATACTGCCATCCGGTGGTCACAAACGGTACTACACTCAAAGCAAATTAACCAACATTTCTTCTTAAATTTGACAATAATTACTAATTATTGTCAAATTTCAAACAATATTATCGTTTATCGCAATAATTTCTGAGACAATTAACCGCACAGCAAAATGTGTTATCGTGACAGGTCTAGTTATGCGACGTTTCATGTGATACTAGGGAGGTCTCACATGATTTGTTAGTGCTTGGAGTGTGTGTTGAGGATGACTCAAGACTACTACCACATTAAAATTCAGCTCAATATCTTTATATTTGAACTGGGTTTGCTCCAGTGGCTCATGAGATATTTTGCTAACACTACACACAGTGAATGAACACAGGCCTTGGGTGGGTAGCACAATAAATCAACCAAACAAGATGATCAGTGTTGTGGTGTTTAGCGTGATTCAGCGTTTAGCTTCGTTACTCAAAAACAGTCAAGCAAAATAAAAGTATGTAAAAAGGATATAAATACACCGAGTACAAAACTGTACTTTAATGTAGTATTTGCGATTTAAATGTATTAACTACTCATGATGCAAGAGATTTTGTTCATAAATGAGCAGCTTCAAGCGTAAATTGTGTTTTCTCACCGTTTTGAGGAAGTGATTCCTCCTGTATATAATGACACTTCTGCAGATTTTGCAATCTTCTAATAATTCACTTTTTATTAACATCCTGTTTTACACATCAGAGCCCATGTTAGCACAGCCCGAGTGAGAGGAACCGAAAAAACCCTGGAAAACTGCAGGACTTTTGCATGCACTGGGAATAACTGTGATTATTTTTGGGCTTTTGTGGGTTGTTTAAGTTTCTAGAGAGTTTATAAAGACATGAACAAGCATGATGCTTATTAAACACAAACCAAAAAAAAAAAAGGTAAAACAATTGACTTATATGTTGAATGGGGTGGATTAATGATAAATAAAGTAAAGCAATATTTGAATAAACAAGGATGTGCTGCCTATAAGTTGCTTATTATATGGACCGCATGCACCTGAGATTTTACCATTTGTCCCTGTGTGTGTGTGGATTTGTGCAGTCATTCAGAACAGATGAAATGTGAGCAGGTGAACCCTCTGCTGGTGGGCCTGCAGCAGCACAAGGAAGTCACTCCACTGGTGGCTCTAGACAAAAGGTACGGCAGTGCTTCTGCTGTGGGGATGTGGTCAGCAGTGGATGAGATAATGGAGTAAAACCAGGCAAACGATGACATCATTATCTAATAAATCCAACTCGTGCTCGAGTGTGATGGACGTTATTGCTGTGAGGCTGCTTGTTGAAGCATATGTGGCATGAAGCGTTTGTTTTAAGTAAAATTATGTGCAAAAGGATATTTAGTTCTGCACCATATGTTGCCTGGTAGTCTGCTCTTGTCTTCATCTCTGACTGCTCTAATTGGAGTGAAGCTTTAACGTTTAACGACATCTTGGCACACTGCAGCGGTGTTAATTATTGTGTTCAACTGCTAATTTGACTTTCACCGGTAGCTCAGTTTGTTTCAAACAGCATAAAGGACAAACCAAGAAGAGAAAGTTCAAACTTTTGTGTAAAAAAAAAAAAAAAAAAGGACGTATCAGTTTCAAAATCCGTCACTCTGGGAGACATCTGGTTTGTTCCGTTGCAGGCAGAGACAGGAATCGGCTTGTTGCGTAGAAAAACCTGGCAGCTGCAAACACTTTTCTTTATTTGCTGCTCCGCCCTTCAGTATGAAGAGCCAAGTGAAGTAGGCACAGGCCTGAATGACAGCTGGGGTAGGTGAGTATCGTGCTGGGAGGGAGGGTGTGATTACAAAGCAACACCGGCAGCTGAACTTAATCATTATTATTCTGTAAAAGAAGTTCTCTTGCGTTCAAGTTAACACCTAAACTTAACTGCAGACAAAACACCAGCCAGATGTTTCACTTCTCTGGAATAACTTGAATGACACAAAATGTTTTTGATGTTTTTACTGATTGGTGAGTCAGAACGTCACGGACAGTGTTTATGGAATCTGATTAAACGGGAAAAAAGAAACTTAGTTCATGTTGCCGCTCAGAAAAATTAACTTGTTAGTGAATAAATATTAAAAAAAGAAAGAAAAACAGCATTTACACTACCTGTTAGCTGTTACTTCCTTTTTTTTCTAATTAAAATCTTGGCAGTAATGAAATATAGAACTACTGAAGACTTTTAGCAGAATATCTTAAGACGAAGGTTTCCTGACTTTGATTTCTGATCTACAAAACTAATGTAGTGACCCTTGTAGAGAAATATAACAACTGTGCTTATTTGTATTTCGTTATTTCATAAAGGAACAATACGTATTAATCAACATGAATACATCACATAAATATGCCAGATTTAGCCAAAGAGACAAATTTTCATCTGCAGTCCCCTAGCAGGTTGATGTAAGAGATAAAAAAAAATACAATTAACATATGTACATGACAACTTACATGACCTATACGTTATGACAGTTTTAAATATAGCTAAAAGTAGTGTAATTTACAGTAAACATTTATATAAAGAAATAAAAACAAGTCATGACCGAAAAATGGGAAAAAGGAAGAAATAAGTAAAAAGTTGATTTAAGAATTATTAAAAACTTGAGTACAATTTTGATGTAGTAACCACTGCTTAAGTGATTTCCTAAAGCAGTTTAATGATGTAATATTTATTAGATCTAATGGTAGTTTATTCCAAGAATTTGGAGCCCGAACAGAAAATGACAACTGACCAAAATAAATTTTTCTAAATGGTATTTTACTGTAGTTATGTTTGGTTGTAAATGTAATTGGACAAAGTATTTTAGCAGTGGTAGAGCCAAACCATGAAGGACTTTATGTTTAAGTATGGCATCTGAATACATCACATATGTCAAACTCAAGGCCCGGGGGCCAAATGTGGCCCTCGTTGACATCTCATCTGGCCCCCCGAGATGATATTTTAAACATAAAATACTTTTTTCACTTGAGCATTTTCAGTAATCTTTGATTACGATGTCAAAAGTGCAAAAGAGAACATCAAATGAGACCAATCAAACTTTTTTTGAGGAACTTGCAACCAAGAAAAGATGTTGGGTATCTAACTTAAGTTAATGTAGATTCTGAAACTGGCCCTTGGTTTGAAAAAAGGTTTTAATTTTGGCCCCCTTTTGTAAGTGAGTTTGACACCCCTGGAATACATGATCACGTTTTCCCAACTCAAAAAGTCATACTTATATAATATTTTACTGATGATAAAGACCAGTTGAACAAAAGCTTATTAACATTATCTGACAATTACAATGTTGTTGTATCTAAACCCCACAGTTTATAGCACTGAATGTTCAACAATCCTAAAAATGTTGAAAACTGACACTTTCCACTGATATTTCAATATATTACACAAACACTGTCCACTTTGGTATTAATATTACTTTCTGTGGTGATGTCGCATGAAGCTCTATAACATCTTTTATATTCAAGTTTCCTTTATGTGGCGTCTAATCTTGCACAACTGGCAAATGTTGAGCACACACCATAGCTTCCCATCACTTTCCCAGTCATGTTTTACTCAAGCCACAAAGGAAATTAATTTAAAAAGTGACACATGCCTCATGATGCCTGAATGAATTATTGTGGGATTAGGGAAATTGTTAATGTCATTCATCTCATCTGAAAGAGCAAAGCAGAAGCTATCACATTTAAATTAGTTGAAATCAAAGTATTGTAATCTCACAATTAAAGACTTGATATGGTGCTTTTAGTGAATGCGTACAAGGCTTTTGTATGTCATTTCTTAGAGTTGTATGTGTTTGAACAGACCTATATGTTCACTAACATCCATTTGCTTAAAAGCAGCTCTGCTCAGTTCTTGCTCAAGAACTGAAATCTCAGAATAGCCATCTCGAGTGCAGCTGTGTTGTTGTGTGCGCTTGTCACAGAAGCCTGAGCGTGGGCTTCTCCTGTGCTAATAGCATTGCTCGGCAGCATCGTGGAATGAGCAGCTGTCTGCTTGACTGGTCTAAACCATTTTACCCTGCCTTCGTCTTAGGCCCGATGGCTGCCGCCCAATAGTCCCAGATGTCCAGGCTTCACCTCCGCCTGCTGATGCACCCCGCCCAGGATCCCCAATCCATTCCCCATCAACTTTCTTAGACCAGGAACTCCAAAAAGCCTTCCTAGAATGTGAGGAGCAAATGGCATCACTGGGCATGCTCACTCCTACGAACCCTGAGATGGTTTGTAAGGATGGGAAGAAAACCAGTGAAGTGATAGTTAATAAGTCTAATGAGTCACCGCCGCCTCCTCCAACTGTAGTCCACCCAGGACGTAGCGATGGAGATCATGGAAATAAGAGTACACATGGTAACAGTCAGATGGTTGTGTTCAGCTTTAGGGATTACATCCTGGGCACCGATAGAAATT